AAAAATTTAGCTAAATTGGACATCATCAAAATTTAAAAAAATTAAATGATATCTAATATCATTTGTTATACAAAAATGCTTTTGTATATCAAAGGCATTTCTCTCACAGAATAAGAGAAGACATTTGCCAATCAGATATCTAATAAGGAATCACTATCCAGAAGACACGGAAAATTCCTATAACTTAACAACAACAAAGCAAACAGACAACCCACTCCAAAATGGGCAAAGAACTTGAATAGCCATTTTCCAAAGAACATATACAAATAGCCAATAAACACATAAAAAGATGCTCAACATCATTAGTCATTAGGGAAATACAAAATACCATTATTCGCACTTCTTAGAATGGCTTTTTTTTTTTTTTCAGTTTGAGAACAGGTACTGTTTATTAACCGACTAACAGAAAAATAATTATAGTAGACACCTTAGTTCATTCTTCTAATAAGCCTGTTGGTCTGGTCCTCCCTGTTGCCAGCATCTCCACCTTCTACAAAATGGGTGTTCTTTTTCTTCATTCCGCCTTGTGGAGAAGATAATTTGAAGGGTCACAGGAAGCTATTTGCTTTTTTGAAGTGTTTTCCAATAGTATAGATCTCATGAATCAGATCCTCCATGCAGATAATGCCATATTTACCAAGAGATCGAGCAATCAAAGGGTTATCTGTCAAAGCAATTAGCTTCTTATTGATTTTGCCATAACCACGTTTGTAGATTAGTTCATTTACTGACTTCAGATTTGGGTACCACCATGCAATATATGGCTTTACAATCCTCAGCATGTTAATTGAGGCCTTGTTGAGCTTCACAAAGGTTCCATTGAAGATTTGATGAAGGTGAAGAAGTTGCAACACCTTTCAGACCTTTGGGCTCACACCACTGATACCTCTGATCTTGACGACAAACGCCAATTTGGGTTCTGCAGGTACATAGAAGTTACCACTTTCCTTGCCATCCTCACCATTTGAATTTCAGTTCTGTACATCTGCCTATATTCCTTGAGGTAGTGCTTCTCTTTTTCATAGATAAGCTTCCTCCTTGCCTTTCGAAGCATCTTTTGGGCAAACTTCTTTCTCAGGTGCTTGATCTTCAGCTCTGCGAAATTCCTTCACTTTTTCTTAAGGGGTTCTGGCACAGCAGGAACCTTCTTCTCTTCTACACTCTCCATGGTTCCAGCCAGAAAAAGAGGAAGTCAGCCTTTTTTTTTCTTTTTTTTTGAGACAGAGTCTTGCTCTATCGCCCAGGCTGGAGAGTAGTGGCACAATCTTGGATCACTGCAACCTCCGCCTCCCAGGTTCAAGCAATTCTCCTGCTTCAGCCTCCCCAGTAGCTGGGATTATAGGTGCCCGCCACTAAGCCTGGCTAATTTTTGCATTTTTAGTAGAGATGGAATTTTGCCATTTTGGCCAGACTGGTCACGAATTCCTGACCTCAGGTAATCCACCCGTCTCAGCCTCCCAAAGTGCTGGGACTACTGGCATGAGCCACCATGCCCAGCCAGAATGGCTATTTTTTTAAAAAAGAAAAATAATAAGTGTTGGTGAGGATGAAGGAAATTAAAACCCTCATACATTGCTGGTGGGAAGATAAGATGGTACAGCTGCTACACGTTCATTTTGTGGTGTTATAACAGAATACCACAGGCTGGGTAATTTGTAATAAGCTGAAATTTATTGGCTCACAATTCTGAAGGCTGGGAAGGCCAAGACTGAGGAGCCAGCATCTAGTGGGAACCTTCTTGCTGCATCATCATCCCATGGCAGAAAGTGGAAAAGCCATAGAGGGTGAAAGAGAGAGTAAGGGAGAGCCAAACTTGTCCTTTTACATGGTATGCACTTTTGTGATAACTAACGCACTCCTGTGATAACCACATTAATCTCTTAACGAGGGCACAATTTCCATGACGCAAACACCTCCATTAGGCCCTACCTCCTAAAATGATGACCACACTGGGAATCAAATTTCCAGCTCATGAAATTTGAGGACACATTTAAATTATAGTAATAGGTACAGAGTTTCTGTTTCAGTTTTTTTTTTTTTTTTTTTTTTTAATA